TGGTCCAGGAACTTGCTTGGACCAGAAGCGTGCCTGGTCCAAGAGCTTGCCTGGTCTAGGAGCGTGCCAGGTCCAAGAGCTTGCGTGGTCCAGGAGCTTGCCTAGTCCAGGAGCTTGCCTGGTCCAGGAGCGTGCCTAGTCCATGAGCATGCCTGGTCCAAGAGCGTGCCTGGTCCAAGAGCGTGCTTGGTCTACGAGCGTTCCTGGTACTGGAGCTTGCCTGGTCTAGGAGCTTGCTTGGTCCAGACGCCTGCCTGGTCCAAGAGCTTGCCAGGTCCACGAGCATGCCTGTTCGAAGACCTTGTGTGGTCCAGGAGCTTGCCTGGTCCAGGAGCTTTCCTGGTCCGGGAGCTGACTTGATCCAGAAGCTTGCTTGGTCCAAGAGCTTGCCTGGTCCAGGAGCGTGCCTGGTCCACAAGCTTGCTTGGTCCACGAGCTTGCCTGGTCTAGGAGCTTGCCTGGTCCAAGATCGTGCCTGGTCCACGAGCGTGCCTGGTCCAAGAGCTTGTCTGGTCCAGGAGCTTGCCTGGTCCACGAGCTTGCGTGGTCCAAGAGCGTGCCTGGTCCACAAGCCTGCCTAGTGTAAGAGCTTGCCTGGTCCAGGAGCGTGCCTGGTCCACGTGCGTGCCTGATCCAGTAGCTTGCTTGGTCCAGGAGCTTGCCTGGTCCAGGAGCTTGCCTTGTCAAGGAGCGTGCCTGGTCTAGGAATGTGCCTGGTCTAGGCAAGCTCCTGGACCAGCTATCTCAGGGACCAGGCAAGTTCCTAGACCAGGCAAGGTCCTGGACCAGGCAAGCTCCTGGACCAGGCAAGCTCCTAGACCAGGCAAGCTCCTGGACCAGGCACGCTCGTGGACCAGGCAAGCTCGTGGGCCAGGCAAGATCTTGGACCAAGCAAGCTCCAGGACTAGGCACGCTCGTGGACCAGGCACACTCCTGGACCAGGCACGCCCCTGGACCAGGCAAGCTCGTGGACCAAGCAAGCTCCTGGATCAGGCACGCTCGTGGACCAGGCACGCTCGTGAACCAGGCAAGCTCTTAGACCAGGCAGGCTTGTGGAACAGGCACGCTCTTGGAACAGGCAAGCTCCTGGACCAGGCAAGCTCCTGGACCAGGCAAGCTCCTGTACCAGGTACCCTCGTGGACAAGGCACGATTCCGGACCAGGCAAGCTCCTTGACCAGGCAAGCTCCTGGACCAGGCAAGCTCTCGGACCTGGCAAGCTCCTGGATCGGGCAAGCTCCTAGACCAGGCACGCTCCTGGACCAGGCAAGCTCATGGAGCATGCAAGCTTCGGGACCAGGCAAGCTCGTGGACCAGGCAATCTCCTGGACCATGCAAGCTCCTGGACTAGGCAAGCTCCTGGACCAGGCAAGCTCATGAACCAGGCAGGCTCAAGGACCAGGCACGCTCCTGGACCGGGCAAGCTCCTGGACCTGGCAAGCTCCTGAACCACGCAAGCTCTTGGACCAGGCACGCTCCTAGACCTGGCAAGCTCCTGGACCACGCAAGCTCCTGGACCAGGCAAGCTCCTTGACCAGGCTACCTCCTAGACCAGAAAGCTCCTGGACCAGGCACGCTCGTGGACCATGCATGCTCTTGGACTTTGGCAAGCTCTTGGACAATGCAGGCTTGTGGACTAGGCAAGATCCTGGACCAGGCAAGCTCCTGGACCAGGCAAGCTCCTCGACCAGGCAAGCTCCTGGACCAGGCTCGCTCGTGGACCAGGCACGCTCCTGGACCAGGCAAGCTCTTGGACCAGGTAAGCTCGTGGATCAGGCATGCTCCTGGACCAGGCAAGCTGTTGGACCAGGCAAGCTCCTAGACCACGCAACCTCTTGGACCAGGCACGCTCCTTGACCAGGCAAGCTCTTGAACCAGGCAGGCTTCAGGACCTAGCAAGCTCCTGGACCAGGCAAGCTCGTGGACCAGGCAAGCTTCTTGACCAGGCTAGCTCTTGGACCACGCACGCTCGTAGACTAGGCAAGATCTTAATCCAAGCAAGCTCCTGGACCAGGCAAGCTCCTGGAACATGCAAGCTCCTGGACCAGGCCTGCTCCTGGACCAGGCAAGCTCTTGGACCAGGAAAGCTCCTGGACCAGGCAAGCTCCTGGACAAGGCAAGCTAACGGATCAAGAAAGCTCCTGAACAAGGCAAGCTCCTGGACCAGGCACGCTCTAGGAACAGGCAAGCTCCATGACCAAGCAAGCTCCTGGACCAGGCAAGCTCCTGGACCAGGAGAGCTCTTGGACCAGGCAAGCTCCTGGACCAGGCACGCTCCTGGACAATGCAAACTCCTAGACCAGGCAAGCTCAAGGACCAGGCAAGCTCCTAGACCAGGCAAGCTCCTCGACCACGCAAGTTCTTGGACCAGGCACGCTCCGGGCCCAGGCAAGCTCTTAGGCCAGGCGGGCTTCTTGACCAAGCAAGCTCCTGGACGAGGCAAGCTCCTGGACCAGGCAAGCTCTTGGACTAGGCAAGCTTCTGGACCAGGCAAGCTCCTGGACCAGGCACGCTGATGGACCAGGCACGTTCCTGGACCAGGCAAGCTCTTGGACCAGGCAGTTTCGTGGACCAAACACGTTCTTGGACCAGGCAAGCTCCTAGGCCAGGCAAGCTCCTTAACCAGGCAAGCTCCTGGACCAGGCACGCTTCTGGACGTGGCACGCTCCTGGACCAGGCAAGCTCATGGACAAGGCAAGCTCCTGGACCACGCAAGCTCTTGGACCAGGCACGCTCCTGGACCAGGCAAGCTCTTGGACCAAGAACGCTTCGGGACCAAGCAAGCTCCTGGACCAGGCAAGCTCCTAGACCAGCTAGCTCCTGGACCAGGCAAGCTCCAAGACCAGGCAAGCTCCTGGACCAGGCAAGCTCCTAGACCAGGCAAGCTCCTGGACCAGGCACGCTAGTGGACCATGCAAGCTCCTTGACCAAGCAAGCTCTTGGACCATGCAAGCTCCTGGACCAGGCACGCTCGTGGACCAGGCACACTCTTGGACCAGGCACGCCCCTGGACCAGGCAAGCTCGTGGACCAAGCGAGCTCCTCGATCAGGCACGCTCGTGGACTAGGCACGCTCGTGGACCAGGCAAGCTCTTAGACTAGGCAGGCTTGTGGACCAGGCACGCTCTTGGACCAGGCAAGCTCCTGGAGCAGGCAAGCTCCTTGACCAGGCAATCTCCTGGACCAGGCACGCTCGTGGACCAGGCACGATCCTGGACCTGGCAATCTCTTGGACCAGGCAAGCTCCTGGACCACGCAAGCTCTTGGACCAGGCACGCTCCTGGACCAGGCAAGCTCTTGGACCAGGCAAGCTTCTGGACCAAGGAAGCTCTTGGACCAGGCAAGCTCCTGGTCCAGGCAAGCTCCTGGACCAAGCTAGCTCTTGGACCAGGCAAGCTCTTGGACGAGGCAAGCTCTTGGAACAGGCAAGCTCTTGGACCAGGCAAGCTCTTGGACCAGGCAAGCTCTTGGACCATGCAAGCTCTTGGACCAGGCATGCTCGTTGACCAGGCAAGCTCTTGGACCAGGCAGGCTTCTAGACCAAACAAGCTCCTAGACCAGGGAAGCTCCTGGACCAGGCAAGCTTCTAGACCAGGCAAGCTCCTGGACCAGGCAAGCTCTTGGACCTGGCAAGCTCCTGGACCAGGCAAGCACCTGGACCAGGCAAGCTCCTGGAGCATGCAAGCTTCTGGACCAGGCAAGTTCCCGGACCATGCAATCTCTTGGATGAGGCAAGCTCCTGGACTAGGCAAGCTCCTAAACCAGGCAGGCTCGTGGACCAGGCACGCTCGTGGACCGGGCAAGCTCCTGGAACTGGTAAGCTCCTGGGCCACGCAAGCTCTTGGACCAGGCACGCTCCTAGACTTGGCAAGCTCTTGGACCACGCAAGCTCCTGGACCAGGCAAGTTCATTGACCAGGCTAGCTCCTAGACCAGGCGAGCTCCTGGACCAGGCAAGCTCTCGGACTAGGCAGGCTCGTGGACTAGGCAAGCTCCTGGACTAGGCAAGCTCCTGACCATGCAAGCTCCTCGACCAGGCAAGCTCCTAGACCAGGCAAGCTCCTTGACCACACAAGGACCGCAAGCGGCCCCCTCAGGTCGCCTCGACAGGCGACGGGAGAGGCCAGCAGAGGGGTGGCAGGTGTGTGGCCTCCCCTGCTTCTCCTCCTCCTTCATCGCTCACCTGCAGCAGCCGAGCCGCCCCACCGCCGAGCCGCCCTGCACCCGAGCCGCCCAGCAGCCGAGCTGCCCTGCCGCCGAGCCGCCGGGTCGCTGAGCTGCTGAGCTGCAGTTGCTGCCGAGCCGCCCTGCCGCCGAGCCGCCGAGTCACCGAGCTGCTGAGCTGCAGTTGCTGCCGAGCCGCCTTGCCGCCGAGCCGCCCGAGTCGCCCGAGCCACCGAGCCGCCGAGCTGCCGAGCCGCTGAGTCGCCGAGCCTACTCTTCCCACCACTGGTGAGCTCTTGCCCTGCTAGCACGCTCACGTCGCCTGCTTGCCTGCCTGCCTGCCTTTTGGCTTGCCTGGCTGCCTGCCTTCCTGCTGCTAGTCCTGCTCCTGCTTCTACTTGCGGAGCCAGATGCAGCCCCAGCGACACCTGCGTGAGTCCCTCACGCCCCAGCAGCTGCGTGAGTGGTACGCTGGTTGGGGCTGTAGGGGTGGCGACGCTACTCCTACTTCCACTCCTGCTGCTTCTACTCGTGGTGGCGGCCAGATGCAGCTCCCGCGACCCTCTCGCGTGTCTCTCACGCCTCGCCAGCTTCGTGAGTGGTACGCTCAGAGTGGAGGGTCTCTCAGTGCTGTTCGCTGCTCTTACGTGATTCGCACTGGTACTCGGACTGGTCAGCCTTGTGGGACACGTAGTCATACACAGTCCCGCTGCTTCGCCCTTCTGAGCGACGCCTGGCGTACCGTGTTTGGCGACGAGGCTGAGCTCCCCGACTGGGTGGAGTTGCTTAGGCAGAGGGTAGATATATATGCTCTTGACTATGATGCTATTCTCACTGCCATGTATGCATTGCCTACTAGTGCTGACCGTGCCGGTCACCTGTGCGTCCCGCCTGACCCAGGTATAGGACCTGCTGCTCTAGCTACTGGTGAGGCTGCTGCTCTGGGTGCTAGTGAGTCTCCTGCTCCAGGTACAGGTGCGGCTGCTGCTCTAGGTGCTAGTGAGTCTGCTTCCTCAGGTGCGGGTGAGGCTGCGCTCTCAGGTACCGCGTTGGCTTCGGCCTCCCTCACCTTTACACTTGACTCTGGGGCTTCTCGCTCCTTCTTTCGGGACCGCACCACACTCACGCCGCTTGGTCGGCCGGTTGCTGTCTCCCTGGCTGACCCCTCTGGGGGTCCTGTCCTCGCTCACTTCTCCACTGTCCTCCCGTGTCCGGCTGCCCCCTCGGGCACCCTGTCTGGCCTGTACCTCCCCTCGTTCTCGACGAACTTGGTGAGTGGTGCAGACCTACAGGATGCGGGGGTTCACCAGTTCACTCCTGCGAGTCAGCGGGTGACCCACTGCACGGACGCACGCACAGGCCGGCACTTGGCCACGTTCTCGCGTCGGCCGGGGTCGAGCCTCTACACCCTGACCACTGAGTCTCCTCCTGTCCCCGCGTCCGGTCAGGTAGCAGCGTCGGGTCAGGTGTTTGCTGCTGCGTCCAGGTCTGGTCCTGAGTCTGCCCCCTGTTCGTGTCGCCTCCTGTCTCACGAGACTCTTCTGTGGCACCACCGTCTAGGCCACCCCTCCTTGCCCCGTCTTCGGGGCATGGCTTCCCGTGTCCTTGTCTCTGGTCTTCCCCAGTCTCTCCCTCCCCTTCCTTCGGGACCAGGACCTTCCTGTGTCCCCTGTGTCGAGGGGCGCCTCAGGGCTGCTCCTCACTCCTCCCAGTTTCCCCCGACAGAGGCTCCTCTGCAGACGCTTCACATGGACGTGTGGGGCCCGGCCCCCGTCCGTGGGCAGGGTCACGAGCGCTACTTCCTGTTGGTGGTTGACGACTACTCGCGTTACACCTCAGTCTTCCCCTTGCGCAGCAAGGGTGCTGTCACTGAGGTGCTGATCGACTGGATCCGCGAGGCTCGTCTCCAGCTCAGGAGGAGCTTCGGCTCGGACTTTCCTGTTCTGCGTCTGCACTCTGACCGAGGTGGGGAGTTCTCCTCTCGCCTTCTGCGAGACTACTGTCGTGCACAGGGGATCCGCCAGACCTTTACGCTTCCGGACTCTCCACACCAAAATGGGATTGTTGAGCGCCGCATTGGCATGGTCATGGATGTCGCTCGTACGTCCATGATGCATGCGGCTGCCCCCCATTTTCTGTGGCCGTTTGCGGTTCGGTACGCGGCGCATCAGCTCAACCTTCACCCCAGGGTCTCTCGGCCCGCGATGTCCCCTGTGTTACTGTGGACAGGGAAGGTCGGCGATGCGTCTGCGTTCCGTGTCTGGGGATCTCGGGCGTTTGTCCGCGACTTGTCTGCGGACAAGCTATCCCCCCGTGCTGCTCCCTGTGTCTTCCTTGGCTTCCCCCCTGACGCTCCAGGGTGGCAGTTCTACCACCCCTCCTCTCGTCGTGTTCTGTCCTCCCAGGACGTCACGTTCGACGAGTCAGTCCCCTTCTACCGCCTCTTCCCCTACCGTACTCCTTCCCTCCCCCCCCCACCGGACTTCCTGGTACCAGTTCCCCCCCCGGTAGACCCCCTCCCCCCTCAGGTTCCTGCCCCTTCAGGTGTGTCCCAGGTAGACACGGTCGAGCCAGTCGAGGTTGCTGCTGAGTCTGGTCCTGCTGCGGGTGCTGAGCCTGGGGGTGCTGAGCCTGGGGGTGCGAGGCCGGGGGGTGCTGAGTCTGGGGGTGCTGAGCCGGGGGGTGCTGAGCTGGAGGGTGCTACGTCAGGAGCTGCTGAGCCTGGGGGTGCTGGGCCTTGAGGTGCGGAGCCTGCGCCTGCTGGACCTGGGGGCTCTCCGGTTCTTCCGTCTCGGCGGGAGCCGCTCTCTCCACAGGAGCTGCGCGAGTGGTTTGCTCGCCGCTGGAGGCGTGCTGCTGGAGCTGGAGCTTCTTCGCCTGCTGAGGGTGCTGCCGGTCCCGGAGCTGCTGGGCCTGCGAGTCCTACTGGAGCTGGAGCTACTGAGTCTGGGGGTGCTGAGTCTGGAGCTGCTGAGCCTGGAGGTGCTGAGTCTGGAGCTGCTGAGCCTGGGGGTGCTACGTCTGGAGCTGCTGTGCCTGGGGGTGCTGAGTCTGGAGCTGCTGAGCCTGGGGTTTCTCCTGCTGCTGCGTCTCGCCGGGAGCCCCTCTCTCCACAGGAGCTGCGCGAGTGGTTTGCTCGCCGCTGGAGGAGTGCTGCTGGAGCTGGAGCATCGTCGACCGTCGAGGGTGCTGGTGCTGCCGGTCCCGGAGCTGCTGGGCCTGCGGGTCCTACTGGAGCTGGAGCTGCTGAGGGTGTTGGTGCTGAGACTACTGCTGTCTGTCGTGGCGGTGGTTCTGCTGCTGGTGCTGCTGGAGGTCCTGCCGCTGGAGGTGTTGGTGGCGCTGGTGCTGTCGCTGAGGGTGCTGGTGCTGTCCCTGCTGAGTCTGGAGCTGCCGCGCGGCCTCGGCCGTACTTCGTTCCGCTCCTACAGCAGGTTCTTGGTCTTTCTCCTTCGGTAGAGTGTCCACAGCCTGTCCAGTCGCAGTCACTGTTGGAGCCTTCCTCTCCTCTGCCTGCTCCCTCTCAGAACACTGGTCCTACTGAAGGTCTTGCTGAGCGTCGTGAGCCTGCGTCTCGTCCCGCGTCGCCGGTTCGTGCTGCTCGCGCTATTGGTCGCGGTTCGCGTCAGCGTCCTCCTCTTGTCCCTGGCACGCACCGGATGTCTCTGCGTCCGTCCACTGCTCCTCTGCGTGCCCCTTTGCCTTCTCCTCCTAAGTCCTCTCTTCCTGCGCTTGCCGACCCTGAGTCGGACTCTCTTCGCGCTGCCAGTCCTACTGTCACGCGTCTGCTTGCTACTGTCGTCACTGACCCCTCTTTTGAGTCCACTGCTGCGTCTGCTCTAGTCGCTGAGCTCGTTGATTTTGCTGCTCGCTGTCGTCTCGACTACGCTGCTAGTCTTGTTGCTGAGTCTGCGTCTGTCTGTCCTCCGTCCGTCGGGGGTGAGTGTGCTCTTGGCACGGACGTCCTAGAGGACAGGCAGGAGGAGTTACAGTGTCTAGCGGCTGCTTCACCTCATCTCGCGTCTGTACTGCTTGCCCCTGAGGGAGACCCGGATGCACTAGACATCCCGACTCCGCGTTCTTACGCGGAGGCCGTAGAGGGTCCCTACTCCTCTCAGTGGCAGGCAGCTATGGATGCAGAGATGGCTTCCTGGAAGTCCACAGGCACCTACGTTGACGCGGTTTCCCCTCCTGGGGCGAACATCGTCAGTGGCATGTGGATCTTCAGGGTGAAGCGGCCGCCGGGCTCTCCACCTGTCTTCAAGGCATGGTACGTTGCTCGTGGCTTCAGTCAGCGGCAGGGAGTTGACTACTTTCAGACCTTCTCTCCCACCCCGAAGATGACCACTCTTCGGGTGCTGCTGCACATAGCCGCTCAGCGCGACTACGAGCTTCACTCTCTCGACTTCAGCACTGCGTTCCTGCAGGGTAGCCTGCACGAGGAGATCTGGCTGCGCCGTCCACCTGGCTTCACTGGGACTTTCCCTCCTGGCACCCAGTGGAGCCTCCGACGGCCAGTCTACGGTCTCCGCCAGGAACCGCGTGAGTGGCACGACACACTGAGGACTACGCTTGCGGCTCTTGGGTTTGCTCCTTCTACTGCTGACCCGTCGCTGTTTCTGCGCACCGACACTTCACTGCCGCCGTTCTACATCCTCGTGTACGTCGACGACTTGGTCTTTGCCACAGCGGACACTGCTGGACTCGCCTACGTGAAGTCCGAACTGCTGAAGAGACACACGTGCACAGACCTGGGTGAACTGCGCAGCTACCTTGGCTTGCAGATCACTCGGGACAGAGCACGCCGCACCATTACCTTGACTCAGTCACACATGGTGCAGCAGGTCCTTCAGCGCTTTGGCTTCACGTACTCCTCGCCTCAGGCCACTCCTCTGCCTACTCGCCACTCACTCTCAGCTCTGCCTTCGGATGAGTCCGTAGAGTCGAGTGGTCCGTATGCAGAGCGTGTTGGCTGCCTCATGTACCTGATGACCTGCACACGACCTGACCTTGCATACCCTCTGAGCATTCTTGCACGCTATGTTGCTCCTGGGAGACACAGACCAGAGCACATGGCTGCAGCGAAGAGGGTATTGCGCTACCTGTGCAGTACGTCGGGCATGGGGCTAGTGCTTTGAGGGCGGAGTCCAGTGGTCCTTACCGGCCACGCGGACGCTTCTTGGGCTGACGACCAGGCTACGCAGCGGTCGTCACAGGGTTACACCTTCAGCCTTGGTTCCGGCTCTGTCTCGTGGCGGTCTACTCGCTCGTCTTCGGTTCTCGGCTCCAGTTGTGAGGCTGAGATCTACGCCGGGGCCATGGCTGCACAGGAGCTTCGCTGGCTCACCTACCTGCTGACTGACCTTGGAGAGCCACCTCGTTCTCCTCCAGTGCTGTACGTAGACAACAAGGCCATGCTGGCCTTGTGTCGAGAACAGCACTTGGAGCACAGAACGAAGCACATTGCTCTCCGCTACTCCCTTGCTCGTGAGCTGCAGCAGCGTGGTCAGTTGCGACTTGCGTACGTGGCCTCTGAGGCCAACACTGCTGATGTGTTCACCAAGGCACTCGCGCCTTGTGACCATCAGCGCTTTTGCACCCAGCTGGGTCTTGTGCCTGTCTTGCCTCACTTGCTCTCCTCTTGACTTCACTTGTACTGTGACATATATATATACCTGCTCTTGCTTGTCTAGTTTTATATATATGTCTGTACTCCTGCATGTGAACTGGCCTCTGGCCCTGCTCTTGTGCTCGGACTGTGTGGTGACTTTGTGATCCACCCTGAGCTTGCTTTGCTTTGCTTGACTGGTCTTGTGACCCCTTGTTCTCCCCCACTTTGCCTATGGGGGTGTGTCAAACATTATATATGTTCTGCTTGTGTAGGCTACAGTGGGTTAGCCTATAGGGGGTACACAATTTTAGGGTTTCCTACTTGTACTCATTTCACTGCTAGTTCATCCATTCCTGTTCGCTTATTCTCACACTTGGAACATGCAAGCTCCTAGACCAGGCAAGCTCCTGGACCAGGCAAGCTCTTGGACCAGGCAAGCTCCTAGACCAGGCAAGCTTACGGATCAAGAAAGCTCCAGGACAAGGAAAGCTCCTCGACCAACCACGCTCTAGGAACAGGCAAGCTCCTTGACCAAGCAAGCTCCTGGACCAGGCAAGCTCCTGGACCAGGATAGCTCCTGGACCAGGATAGCTCCTGGACTAGGCAAGCTCCTGGACCAGGCACGCTCCTGGACAATGCAAGCTCCTAGACCAGGCAAGCTCCTCGACCAGGCAAGCTCCTCGACCAGGCAAACTCGTGGACGAGGCACGCTCCTCGACCAGGCAAGCTTCTGGACCAGGCAAGCTCCTAGACCAAGCAAGCTCTTGGACTAGGCAAGCTCCTGCACCACGCAAGCTCTTGGACCAGGCAAGCTCTTGGACCAGGCAAGCTCCTAGACCAGGCAAGCTCCTGGACCAAGCAAGCTCCGAACAAGGCAAGCTCCTGGACCAGGCAAGCTCCTGGACCAGGCACGCTCTTGGACTAGGCACGCTCCTAGACGGGGCAAGCTCTTGGACAATGCAAGCTCCTAGAACAGGCAAGCTCGTAGACAAGGCAAGCTCCTAGACCAGGAAAGCTCCTGGACCAAGCAAGCTCCTAGACCAGGCAAGCTTGTGGACCAGGCACGCTCCAGGACCAGGCAAGCTCTTGGACCAGGCAAGCTCAAGGACCAGGCAAGCTCCTGGACCAGGCAAGCTCCTGGACCAGGCAAGCTCAAGGACCAGGCACGCTCTTGGAACAGGCAAGCTCCTGGACCAGGCTCGCTCGTGGACCAGGCACGCTCCTCGACCAGGCAAGCTCCTGGACTAGGCAAGCTCCTGGACCAGGCAAGCTCGTGGACTAGGCACGCTTCTGGACCAGGCAAGCTCCTGGACCAGGCAAGCTCCTGGACCACGCAAGCTCTTGGACCAGGCACGCTCCTGCACCAGGCAAGCTCTTGGACCGGGAAGGCTTTAGGACCAAGCTAGCTCTTGGACCAGGCAAGCTCGTGGACCAAGCAAGCATCTGGACCAGGCAAGCTCTTGGACCAGGCAAGCTCTTGGACCACGCAAGCTCCTGGACCAATCAAGCTCTTGGACTAGGCAAGCTTCTGGACCAAGCAAGCTTCTGGACCAGGCAAGCTTCTGGACCAGGCAAGCTTCTGGACCAGGCAAGCTCCTGGGCCAGGCAAGCTCCTGGAACATGCAAGCTCCTGGACCACGCAGGCTCCTGGACCAGGCAAGCTCGTGAACCAGGCAAGCTCGTGGACCAGGCACGCTCCTAGACCAGGCAAGCTCGTGGACCAGGCAAGCTCCTGGACAAGGCAAGCTCCTAGACCACGCAAGCTCTTGGACCAGGCACGCTCCTGGACCAGGCAAGCTCCTAGACCCGGCAAGCTCCTGGACCAGGCAAGCTCGTGGACCAGGCAAGCTCTTCGACCACGAAAGCTCCAGGACGAGGCAAGCTTCTGGACCAGGCAAGCTAACGGACCAAGAAAGCTCCTAGACAAGGCAAGCTCTTGGACCAGGCACGCTGCTGGAATAGGCAAGCTCCTGGACCAGGCAAGCTCCTGGACCAGGCAAGCTCTTGGACCAGGATAACTTCTGGACTAGGCAAGCTCCTGGACCAGGCACGCTCCTGGACCATGCAAGCTCCTAGACCAGCCAAGCTCCTGGACCAGGCAAGCTTCTGGACCAGGCAAACTCGTGGATCAGGCACGCTCCTGAACAAGGCAAGCTCCTGGACCAGGCAAGCTCCTGGACCAGGCAAGCTCCTAGACAAGGCAAGCTCCTAGACCAGGCAAGCACTTGGAGCAGGCACGCTCATGGACCAGGCAAGCTCCTAGACTAGGCAAGCTCTTGGACTAGGCACGCTCCTGGACCAGGCAAGCTCTTGGATCAAGCAGGCTTCTGGACCAAGAAAGCTCTTGAACCAGGCACACTCCTGGACCAGGCACGCTCCTGGACAAGGCATGCTCCTTGACCAGGCAAGCTCCTGGACCAAGCAAGCTCCTGGACCATTCACGCTCGTGGACCAGGAACGCTCCTGGACCAGGCAAGCTCTTGGACCAGGCAGGCTCCTGGAGCAGGCAAGCTCCTAGACCAAGCAAGCTCCTGGACCAAGCAAGCTCATGGTCCAAGCAAGCTCGTGGACCAGGCACGCTCGTGGACCAGGCACGCTCCTGGACCAGGCAAGCTCGTGGACACGGAACGCTCCTAAACCACGCAAGCTCCTGGACCACGCAAGCTCCTGGACCACGCAAGCTCCTGGACCAGGAATGCTCGTAGACCTGGCACGCTCCTAGACCAGGCAAGCTCCTGGACGAGGCAAGCTCCTGGACCACGCAAGCTCTGAGACCAGGCACGCTCCACGACCAGGCAATCTCCTAGACCAGGCAAGCTCGTAGACCAGGCAAGCTCGTGGACGAGGCAAGCTCTTGGACCAGGCAAGCTCCTAGAAAAGGCAAGCTCTAGGACCAGGCAAGCTCCTGGATCACACAAGCTCTTGAACCGGGCACGTTCCTGGACCAGGCAAGCTCTTGGACCAGGCAGGCTTCACGACCAAGCTAGCTACTGGACCAGGCAAGCTCGTGGACCAGGCAAACTTCTGGACCAAGCAAGCTCTTGGACCAGGCACGCTCCTGGACCAGGCAAGCTCTTGGACCAGGCAAGCTCCTGGAAAATTCAAGCTCCTGGACCAGGCAAGCTCTTGGACCAGGAAAGCTCCTGGTCGAGGCAAGCTCGTGGACCACGCAAGCTAACGGACCAAGAAAGCTCTTGGACAAGGCAAGCTCCTGGACCAGACACGCTCCTGGAACAGGCAAGCTCGTTGACCAGGCAAGCTCCTGGACTAGGCAAGCTCCTTGACCAGGCAAGCTCGTGGACCAGGCACGCTCCTGGACCAGGCAAGCTCCTGGACCAGGCAAGCTCCTGGACCAGGCAAGCTCCTAGACCAGGCAAGCTCCGTGACCACGCAAGCTCCTAGACCTGGCAAGGTCCAAGACCAGGCAAGCTCCTGGACCAGGCAAGCTCATGCACCACACACACTCTTGAAGGAGGCAAGCTTCTGGACCAGGCAAGCTCCTGGACCACGCAAGCTCTTGGACCAGGCAAGCTCTTGGTCCAGGCAAGCTCCTGGACCTGGCAAGCTCGTGGACAAGGCAAGCTCCTAGACCAGGCAAGTTCGTGGACCAAGCAAACTCCTGGACCAGGCAAGCTCCTAGACCAGGCAAGTTCGTGGACCAGGCAAACTCTTGGACCAGGCAAGTTCCTGGACTAGGCAAGCTCCTTGACCAGGCAAGCTCGTGGACCAGGCACGCTCCTGGACCAGGCAAGCTCCTGGACCAGGCAAGCTCTTGGACCAGGCAAGCTTCTCGACCAGGCAAGCTCCATGACCACGCAAGCTCCTAGACCTGGCAAGGTCCTAGAGCAGGCAAGCTTGTGGACCAGGCAAGCTCATGCACCACGCACGCTCTTGAAGGAGGCAAGCTTCTGGACCAGCCAAGCTCTTGGACCACGCAAGCTCTTCGACCAGGCAAGCTCTTGGACCAGGCAAGCTCCTGGACCTGGCAAGCTCGTGGACGAGGCAAGCTCCTAGACCAGGCAAGTTCGTGGACCAGGCAAACTCCTGGACCAAGCAAGCTCCTAGACCAGGCAAGCTCGTGGACCAGGCAAGCTCATGGACCAGGCACGCTCCTGGACCAAGCAAGCTCCTGGAACACGCAAGCTCCTGGAACACGCAAGCTTTTGGACCAGGCACGGTCAGAAGCGTGACTGGTCCACGAGCTTGCCTTGTCTAGGAGCTTGCCTGGTCTAGGAGCTTGCCTAGTCCAGGAGCGTGCCTGGTCTAGGAGTGTGCCTGGTCTAGGAGCTTGCCTGGTCCAGGAGCTTGCCTGGTCCAGGAGCTTGCCTTGTCCAGGAGCGTGCCTGGCCCAAGAGTGTGCCTGGTCCTGGAGCTTGCTTGGTCCAGAAGCCTTCCTGGTCCAAGAGCTTGCTTGGTCCAGGAGCATGCCTAGTCCAAGAGCTAGCCTGGTCGAGAAGCGTGCCTGGTCGAGGAGCGTGCCTGGTCGAGGAGCTTGCCTGGTCCAAGAGGTTGCCTTGTCCAGGAGCT